ATATCTATTTTCCGAGTAATCTCGTATTCAGCTTTGAGGATTGTGTGGTTATGGTCGAATGCCACTACACACTAACGAATATATTTTATCACAACATCAAAGTATCATCAACAACACCGCACCTTTAGAATACTATAGACCTACGTTCTCCAAAGATCTCTATATACCGTTCAGTACAAGAAGACGTCTTCAGAGACATTGTACTCGATTCCACAACTTAAAGGACTTTTCCTCTTTGGTAACGATGACAGAAATACTTGTCCGAACAGAGGCAATAAATAAACAAAAAGCAGTCGCACAGGAAAAACTTGCAGTTGAACTTAATAATAACCCCTCTTCACTCACCATACCCCTTCAAAGTAAACTTGAATGTTCTAAATCGAGAGGGAGTATATTCATTAAAGGCAAACAAGTATACGAAGATCCCAAACTTGTCACAGAATTATTTAGTGAACACTTTTGTTTCTTATGGAATAACGAAAAACCATTTAATGATTCCGAACCAATCCCTGCGAAATTACTAATGTAGAATTCAATGTACAAAATATCTCAAAGGCATTCAGTACATTGAAACACTCCTACACTGATGGACCAGATGGTATTCCATCTAGCATGCTAAAACATGGAGGTGATGATATGTGTGTTTTGCTTCTCAAACTATTCGCGATATCATTCTCTTCAGCGTGTTACCCTACTGCCCGGAAAACTACACATATCATTCCCAAACTAAAAACAGGACCTGAAGCAAACGTTGAAAATTACTGGCTCATAAACATAACTTCAGTGGTCTCCAGAGTGATGGAAAAAGTAGTTCAGGCGGCTGTAGTCCAACATCCACTAACTAATAATCTCATCTCGACCCCCCAGCATGGATTTCTTCGGTGCATATCATGCGATACATGCCTAGTAGACTACCTGAATGACATAACTCTAAAACGAGACAGCGGATTCCTTGTATCAGTCCTATTCGTAGACTTTAAGAAAGCCTTTGATAAGGTCCCACACAAAAGCCTACTCGTCAAACTAAAGTCCTTCGGAATAAACAACCCACTGTACTCATGGTTTGCTTCGTTCTTAACAGAGCGTAAACAAATGGTAAAGTACAACGACTGTCTCTCGTCCCCTAGACCAATCACCAGTGGAGTCATCCAGGGAAGCGTATTAGGTCCACTTTTGTTTCTTATGTATATAAACGATATATGTAACACCATAGAATTTGGGAAACCATACTTATATGCTGATGATCTCAAAACAGTATACAGCTATAAGCCTGAGACACTAAGCGAAAGTGTATCCCAGATCCAAAAGGACCTCAATAACTTAACTATATGGAGTGAAAAATGGCAATTACCATTTAACCTCAACAAGTGCGGGATCACGCACTTTGGAAACCATCCCTATAAACCGCAACTTCACTTAAATGAACGTAGAGTCCAAACACTCAAATCAGTACACGATTTAGGAATTAATTACACAGGAAGCCTGAACTTCGAAGAAAATGCCTCCTCTATTATTTCTAAATCTAGACAGCTAATTGGTTTCATAATGAGAAATTTTTTCACAACAGAGGCTAAGCTTACTCTCTACAAAATATGTGTACGGCCCTCCCTTGAATACTGCTCTTTTGTCTTCTCTAATATGAATATCGCAGACAAGACAAGAGTAGAAAATGTTCAAAGATGTTTCACACGCCATCTGCTAGGATGTAACTTGAATCTCGATTACACAGATAGATGTAAGCACCTCTCTTTAGAACCTTTATGGCACCGTAGGCTAAAGAACAATTTAATGTTTCTCTACAAAGCGATATATGGGCTCCTGTCCGACTATGACTCACGACCCAGCCTATAGACTTAGAAACAACGCATATACACTACTTACCGTAAAACACCAAAAACAAATTCGTCGTAATTTTTTTACAGTGCGGCATAGTTTATTGTGGAACAGGCTGCCAATGCCTATCCGTAACTGTGACACAGTTACCAGATTCAAAAAGCTAATAACCCTATTTCTAGACTCCAAAGAGCTTCAACATTTCCTTGAACTCCCGTCCAACAATGAGGCACTTTATTACGGACCGCCTAGTATCTAGACAGAACAAGAATATAACTAGCCCGACTGTTATTAATATGAATATCACCAAATCACAGAATATATGGCTTATCCTTTCCTATTATTCATTGTTTATTAATCATGGCCCTATGCTCCTAACCCTAGCTCTGAGTTCCCAAATCTCTACAGGCTAAATGTACATTATTCTTCCTAAAAGTCATGCTTTTTTTCTATTGCAAGTAGATAGATAACTCACTAATCTTATGAATGCTGCTCTACTAAGGCCGATCATACAAAGCTCAAAATCTGGCCACAAAGTTTTCCTACCCTAAAATCTTTTTCTCTACAATTTTATACCCTCTCACATCCTTTGATTTGCTATTAGTCCTTACTTCTTTAAACCATTAGTTATCCTTATAGCAGTGTGATATACTATGTGGACATCTAACCCATAAAACAAACTTTTTAACTATCTGATTTGCCTGTAACATGGACCTAGTAGAGGCAGTGTATTCCAACTATGGGCTTTGGTTAAAGCAGTATTCATACTTGCCACAAACGTAAGAGAGCCTAACATCACAAAAGGAGGGAGGGTGGCGTTACTGACCAGCAAACATGGCGGTGGGGAGACAACTTCAATCCACCCATGTCTGTAGGGCAGAACATTTTGTTTAATTACGGCTCCTTATGGCTTAGTGGGATGTTACGAACTTAAAGTATTAATGCTGATTTATCATGCAAAATGCCTCAATAAATCGTGTTACGAACGTTGAATTGGTTTCACTTCCCACCCAGTAATCCTATTACAGGCAAACTAGACAATTCGATAATATACGAAGCCTACTCAAGACCCTATGATATCTAAAAAATAATAATACAAAAAAAGATGAAAAGGGCTCCAACAGCTTCGATAAAAAAGGAAGATAGTCAACTGTATATCAAAATAACTTTTTAGCACTATATTTTATGACCACACATAAGCTCATATTTTCAGCTCCTTTCTGAATCCCCTCCATTTGTTAGTTGTATGTCCGCTACATACTTTGTTTACACTTATTTTCTTTAACCTATTAAAATACTCTTGCTTAACAAATACCTTAATAAAGGAAAATTAGACTGAGTAATCATACCTTAAACATTCCTTCATGAATATTGGCTACTCTGCCTCTCGTCCTTTCTTCTACTTGCTCCCTCTTTCAGCCCCCTTGAGATATGGAACGAGTGACTTCATCCTGCACCACCCTTAAGGCCTTGGATATTCCAAAGGGACATAAGGTTTCGATTTCTAGAAGCTAATATCTTCAATGGACCTATCCTTGACCATCAGTTGCACATTCGCAACGTGACTTTCATGAAGCTCCCCAACGGATATACTGACTAAAACCATCCACATTCATATCTTTTAAATTATCAACCCAGCTTAGTAATTTACTACAGTGGGTATTGTATCATTTGTAAAAACTTGATCTTGCCTGTAAACTGGCATGCCTCATGTAACAAACTGTTATTTGAGAATAAATTACCATTATTATTATTATTATTTACTTCATACAATACAGACACACTAACCAATATATTTTATTACAACATCAGAAATATCATCAACAAAATCGCAATTTCAGAATACTGGAGACCTATGTTCTCTAAAGATCTGTATATACCGGTCGGTACAGGAAGACGTCTTTAAAGACATTGTACTCGATTCCACAACTTAAATGACTTTCGCTCCTTAGTAACGATGACAGGAATATTGGTCCGAATAGAGGCGATACGTACACACAAAACAGTTGCACAGGAAAAGCATGCTGTCGAACTTAATAGTAACTCCTCAGCACTCACCATACTCGTTCAAAAAAACTTAAACGTTCTAATCGAGGTGGAACATATTTATTAAAGACAAACAAATATACGAAGATCTTAAACTTGTTACGGAACTATTTAGTGAACAATTTTGTTTCTCATTAACTAACGAAAAACCGCTAAATGATTCAGAACCAATCCCAGTACCTCCCTGTGAAATTACTAATGTAGACTTCAATGTACAAAATTAATACATTGAAATACCCCGATACGGATGAAACAGATAGTATTCCGGGAAGAGCGCTTAAATGTGGAGGTGGTGATAAGTGTATTTTTCTTCTCAAACTACTTGTGATATCACTCTCTTCAGAGTGTTATCTTACTGCCGGGAATAATAAACATATCATTCCCAAAATTAAAACAGGTCCTGAGGCAAATATGAAAATTACTGGCCCATAAAAATAACTTAAAAGGTGTCTAGGGTGATGAAAAGAGTAGTTAAGGTGGCGGCGGTATGTCAACCCATTCATATCAGAAGTCAGAATTGAAGGAGTTCTAAAATATATTTGGTAGGCTATCGATATGTCGAGAAACGTTTAATCTATTCTGGCTAACAGTTGCAAGGGATGAGTAGCAGGATTTACCCACGCGTCGTCTGGTGAGAATGTTTGACCGAGTACCTTCAGTTGAGTGAGTCCGGTAAAACTAATGAGGTCAGTATCAAATGTCAAAACCATTTGTTTTGGGGCTTTATTTACGCTACAACTGCTTCCAGATGGCTTACATTATTAAATATAGGTGTTTATATTAATCCTTTCAGTGGTTCACGACCGTGAAATAAATGTACCTGAAATAGATAAAAGCCAGTGGTATAAAATGTTAGGATCTACTAAAGATAACCTTCGGGAAGTTTAGTCCTAACGTGATTTGCATATATCAAACTTTTGCTGTGTTCTTACGCAACAAAAGTACCATTTCAGTTCTAAAAAATCTATCCTGAGCTATACGTTCGGTAGATTACTTTTTTTTGAGTTTCACTATATTTAATAGTTACCTGTGGTTTTGCCTCAGCTTACTATTCGGTTTTTTTTGTTTTTCACGTATAGACTAGTTTCAGTTTATATCACTCGTTTTGTCCGTTTTTGTCCGTTTTCAGTGTGCATTTTAGTGTTTTTTTTAAAAGGTCTTAAGCTTTGCCAGCATCTATAACATAGTTTGCTTCAACACCGTCATGAAAAACTCATGCAAACGTCCGGGATGCCGTTTTGCTGTCACAACTGGCATGCAGTGTGACAACTGCAAAGGTTGGTTTCACGAAGCATGCACAAATCTGACAGCAACTGCTTACAACAAACTCAGCAAGTCAGACCAAAAGTGGGTATGTGTCACGTGCAACACGGACGCAGTAGTCTTGCTGAGTAACATCATTGTCCTACTGACAGGTCTTCGAAACAAGCTGTCAGTTAACTTGGAATACGACAGTAAAAAAACCGATATACAAACAAGAGCGCGCAACGGACTCAAAAATAGGGATGTCGATAGGTATGTCATCGATGGAGCATCCATCAACACTAACGACGACGTGTCGAGGCTCAGTACCATCATTACGTCGACGGTACTAGACTCCCTAGGCAAACTCGGGTCTCCCAGCTCAGGGTCGCTGAACACAACAGTGGTTCCCAAAAACCCTGCAGGTGATTCGACCCACGTTAAGAGAGCCCAAAAGAACCAGGCATCACCGCCTAAGCCGAGCAACCCAAGTGTTGCTGCACGGAAAATAACTGGTGATTTAGTCGCACAGTCTACCCCCAAGACTGTTCGTCCGGTCAATAAAGAGCCCAAGATTCAAAAACGCACACTGACCTCCAAACAACAAGTTATTAAACCTGAACCCATCGTGAAACCTGGTAAATTAACAACAGTTCGTGACGATTCTCTCATTATCATGAACCTCGTTGACAATCCTGACCTTCCTCTCAGTCTGCAGGACAAAAACGACAGGATGCTCTGGGGTGAATTGAACAAGAAGCTCGAACTTCCTAGAATAGAGCCTTTGACGGTCACCCGGCTCACTCGAGGAAAGGATTCTAAGCATCTAAATCACCCGAGGCTTCTCCGAGTAACACTTAAGAATGCTACCGACGTAGAGGACGTCTTGCTAGCAAGTCACTTGCTGAAATCAGATGGTAACGTAAGAATATTGCCCGACATACCGTACTCTGAGCGCAATATCATACGAAACATCCCTAAAGAATCTCGCGAGAAGTTTTTCCGCGGAAGAAACATAATTGTCAAGGTATACCGGAAAATGCAGACCCTACTCAATCAAATTCTGACATCAGGGAATGGAAATTCATCAAACAGTCCTTGAGGCTCAAACACATACTGACTCAGCATGTGACGAGACTAGCCAAGAAGGACGGTGATCCTAGACCCCGTCTAATGAAGATAACCTTCCCATCTTCCCACATGGCGGCTGCAGTTCTGGAAGCATTTCGTGCTAATAGACGTCGATTGCCACCTGGAATCCACATGCACCCGGATAGGCCATACGAAGCTAGGACCAAGAACAAAGGCAAGTTGGAGCTGACCATTCCACTTGTGGACTGTCTAAACGATAAAAAAACGTGTAAAGGACAGGGCCTACCACCTCGGCAAACCTCATATAGGTGGGCTACCTGTCCATTCACATAAGGTTCATACAGAAAAACAGGACGAAGCTCACGCGTTCCAAATTGAAAGCATAAACTGCTTATATATGAACGCCGCGAGTCTACCAAACAAACTGGATGAACTACGTGAACTTAGCAACGCTAATAAGGCCCATCTGATAGGAATATCTGAAACCTGGATATCTTCTCAGTTCTCGGACCAAGAGTTAGCATTACCTGGGATGACTTTGTTCCGCAACGACAGAAAAACAGGAATTGGGGGCGGAGTAGCCATATACATAAGCTCTTGCTTGGAGGTGCACCAAGTTCACAACCTCGAGTTTAACAATCTTGAGGAATCCATATGGTGCTCTGTAAGATTGTCTAGTACTTCGAGGTGTCTAGTCGGAGTCATTTACAGAAAGCCAACTGCCGACATCGAGTACGATAGTCGTATGCTGGAAGGACTATCCCGCTCTATCCGTCTCGGTTTCACACACATCCTGATTCTAGGGGACTTTAATCTCCCTAGAGTCAACTTCGCGGAACACACGTACACTGGAGGCGACAACTCAATTGAAGCTCGGTTCTACAACCTCATCGATGACTTGGGCTTATATGAAAATGTGAGGTCGGCAACTCGTTGGAGAAACAGTCAGACACCATCGCGCTTAGACTGTGTATTCACTAACGAAGAATTCCTAGTCGACAACCTCTCAATCCTGGCTCCTCTGGGAAAAAGCGATCATGCCGTCATAGCCTTCAGTTTTGTCATCAAAACTAAGCTAAGGTATCCCAACAATAATTTGCGTTGGAATTTTAAACGGCTGAATGTCCCAGCTCTACATGACTATCTACAACAGGTGGTTTGGGATGTTCACCCTCAACTCGATGTGGATGGTCATTGGGACTTCTTACTGCACACGCTCTTATGTGCTACAAACCATTCAGTTCCTCAAACGGTTCCCAAAAGCTGCAAGCCACCTACAGTAATCAAGAACCGTACCCTTCGCCTGCTAAGCCGCAAAAGGCACTGTTGGGCGGAATACAAACGAACTAATAACGATGGAGCGTATAGGCAATATAAACATATCAGGAACATATGCACGAAGGCTATAAGAGAAGACAGGCTTCAGTACCAAACAAAGCTTATGGACAAATTCGCCTCTAACCCTAGAAGCTTATTCCGTTATGCAGCCTCTCTTCGTCAAGCCAAAACAGGAGTTTCTCAACTGGTAGGTCTTAACGGCCCGACCAACAACGATGGCGACGCCGCTAACCTTCTGGCGGCACATTACTCTCAAACATTTCAACCGGCTGACATCAACTTTACTGACGACAGTTTCATCTGCAATTCCACAGGACTTTCTGAAGTGGACCTAAGCGCTGACTTGGTGTTCCGGAAATTGCAGCACTTAAGATTAGACACTTCTCCTGGCCCGGATATGGTTCATCCTGCCATACTGAGGGAGGCAGCCTCAATCCTGGCAACGCCGCTTAGCGTGATGTTTTCACACTCGCTTAGCCGAGGCAAATTACCGGAAAATTGGAAGTTGGCTCACATCACACCAATTTTCAAAGGTGGTCGACGCAATGAACCTTCAAGTTATCGGCCGGTGGCTCTTCTGTCATTACCTTCAAAACTCATGGAGTCCCTGATATGCGACGGTTTAAATGACTATCTACTGTCCTTAAATTTCTTCTCACCCCAACAGCATGGTTTCAGGAAGGGTTACTCTTGTATAACCAACCTGCTGACTGCGGTGGACAGATGGACAAGCATCCTCGATTGCAAGGGAAAGGTTGATGTCATTTACCTTGATTTCTCAAAAGCTTTTGATAAGGTTAACCACTTGTGTCTTATCAACAAGCTCAAACGACTAGGTATCAAACCACCCCTAATCGATTGGCTTACTTCATACCTAAAAAATCGACACTTTAAGGTTAGGGTTAATTTCACTTTATCTCAGGCTATGGAATGTCCTAGTGGGGTCCCCCAGGGCTCAGTACTAGGGCCTCTTCTCTTCTTGATCTACATAAATGATCTTCCTCAACAGGTAACGTCAGATTTATTACTTTTTGCCGACGACGTGAAACTTTGGAGAGAGATACGCAACCAAGACGATACACAGGCACTTCAGGAGGATCTGACTCGACTTCAAAGTTGGGCAGACGATAACGGACTTACCTTTAACACTTCAAAGTGTAAAGTAGTCCATCTGCGACATGTTGCAAACTACAGTTACAACTTAGGAAACTCCTCTCTAGTAGTATCCCAAGTCGAAAAAGATTTAGGAGTCCTGGTGCCCCATGATTTAAAGTCTTACGCTAACTGTGACAAAAATGCCTTCCGAGCAAACCTTGCACTGGTAACGTTGAGGCGCATTTTTGGCCAGTTTGACGGAAGAACTTTCCACACAATCTTCAATAGTTTCATCCGTCCCCATTTAGAGTACGGAAACATAGTACTCCCCCCTCACTCCAAAAGGACAAGGTCACTTTGGAGCGTATCCAACGGCGAGCCACGAAATCAGTTCGAGGACTCAAATCTAAGCCTTACGAAGAACGCCTCCGTTCACTAGACCTTTACCCATTAGAATATAGGCGTCTTAGAGGTGATTTATTAATGGCTTATAGTATTCTTAACACTTCTGGACATCCTCTTAAACACCTACTTAAGCTTAGTTCGAATAACAACCTAAGGGGTAACACCCAGAAACTGGAAACACAACATAGCAAGACGGAATGTAGACACAACTTCTACTCCTTAAGAGTTGTCAAAAGCTGGAATTCGCTGCCAGCCGAGCTAGTCCAAGCGACTTCTCAGGAGTCCTTCAAGAGGCAACTTGACCTATTCTTAAGGACCAAGAACAGCATCACATTATGATTTACCAATCTCTTTTCCTCTTTTATTGTTAACATACCTAGGTTCCTGCCTGGAGGATTTGGTGATCCCCTGCTACTAGACACGGAAGCCTGTTAAGCGAAAGCTTCTTCTATTCCGTCCACAACCACTTGAACCATTTGAACCATTTGAACATTGCACAACGATGATAACCCACTTCCCCAAAGTTGTTTATTGTGTGCTTAAATATGTTAGCAGAGGGCAGTATGCTTACAGTCTATCATTTTAAAACATAAGACCAGCCAGCTTGGCTGAAGAAATACATTGACCTCAGTAGCAGCAGCAGAAACCAAGAAAACAAAGCTAAATCAGAATAAAATTCGCTCCAACATTTAGAGCATTACATTAACTTCTGTATTTTAGCACACTGGAACATTAAATTATGTAGCTACACAAAAGAAATAGCGGAAAACGCACAGAACGAAGAAAGCCGGCTGCCATTGCGTACAAAGATGGCGGATATAATAATTCCTCCTTCATTCTGATTAGTCGCCGAGCAGACTGCCACGTTTACGAAATCGAGTTGCCTTTAATAGCAACCAAGAATTTAGAACAAGCTTCATTTTATTCCATGCTACCCGGCCGGAAGCAGGCACATTTGTAATAGAGGATCCAAAACCCAGCGAAACTAGACTTCATAGATGAGGAGATTATAGATGTGTCGTGAAGCATACTGTCTATGCTGACTAGGTGTTGCGAGGATTATGTAGTACGTCGTACCCAGTAGTGATATGATGCGAATGTTTGGCTGAGCTCCTTCAGTTGAAGCGTGTTGAGTTTAACTAATGGGATCAATCCAAATGTCGAAAACTTTAAGAACTGTTGCTTTGGAGCGTCCAGTTGTCACCATTAGTCCAATCAACTTCATTGAGAAAACTTTGAGCCATTTGACATCAGTTTATTAAAAAATCATCGTACCAAGCTGAAATTACTCTAAAGAAAGTTTTGATAAATGAGAGTTTCATTGGTTTATTTTTCAGATGGGAGTGTTTGTTTGAACCAACCTTAAGGTCATTGAGCGCCAACATATTCCCTTCAAGTATGCCTCACGGGAATCACCGCAATAAGTCTAATCACTATCGGTGGAGAAGTCGTAAGTACTTGGAGTTTCTCATATATTTTACAAACTTACGCGATAGTTTGGTCTACATGTGATTATTTGTATATGGACAGCTGTATATGTGCTCTCCCATAGGAGAGGCTGAATTTCCATAATTTTGGAGTTATTTATTCAAAACTTACAGAGTTTATACTCTGTTGAATGCTGATGCACCACATTCTAGACACATTCAGTAGAGTTATTCTCAATAAAACTGATTAGACTCGTTTTCCGTCCGAATTTGTTGACTGATGTGCTACTCAGATTTGTGTAGTAAGAACAGAAGGCCTACGGCCAATTTTATTCCTTTTCTAGTATGCTTCTGTGGGTGTCCAGTCTTCTCTTGAATGAGTCGATTAAAGGTGCGGACAATGCTTCAGGTAACAGGTTCCAAGTATTGATGACTTGGTATGAAGACCTGTATGTCGCGGGTATTTTGTTCGTTCTTGGCTTTTCTACTCGCCTGCTATGTCCTCTGAGACGTCACGATACAGTGGGAAAAAAAGGGAAAAAGTTAGGTCCGAAAGCATGTCTGAGTATTCTGTACATCAAAATTAGGTCTCCCCTTAGTCTGCGATGAGACAGAGTAAAGAGGTCCAGCTTTTCAAGGCGCTCTTTGTATGATAAACAACGGAGTTCTGGAATTGCATGGGTAGCTGCCCTCTGTACTTCTTCCAGGATATCCGAGTCACCTTTTAAACGGGGCTTGCAGCCTGAACGCAGCTCTCTAGCTTAGTCCTCACTAAGGATATGTATACTGTGGTGAACATGGTAGTGTCTAACTTAGTGAATATCCGTTTAAAAGTTCAGAGGGTTCGAAACCCCTTAGCTGCGACCTCCCGGCAATGGGCCGTCGTCTTAAGATCATGACTTACTGTCACCCTAGATCCTTATGGGACCGGACTACTTCTTTCGTCTTAGTAAATGTCGAATATCTCGGCCTATCCAGGGATGGCCGTGCTTCTTCTTTGGGACTGTCCAGGGTATGTATGGTTGAGTTACCCGATTGTATAACTGCCTGAAAAGAGTCCAAGCCTCTTGTACTGATGCCTTAGAGTCAAGTCCCCAGTTTTCAGCCGATGCTGCGGAGTTGATTGCCTCCATGTCTTTCTTCCATATGTTAGGACGGGCCGGCGCGACTGTTTGACAACCAATCTCAGCCATGAATTTGAATAAGATGACTGCATGGTCACTTCTCCCTAGTGACTTCTGATTTCCTCATTTGTACTTAGTCATTTTTGGTAGATGCGTCCCACTAAATTTCATTTTATTTGTTCAACCTTGGTCTACCTAACTGCTTGGATGATGTGGCTCTAATTAT